ACATAAAGGAGAAGGGTAAGGAATACATGGTTCTCACAATTGGAAATTACAGCAAGGACTATGGCAGTGGATCCACTAAATGAAGTTCGGAGGTCAAGCAAGTGGAACTGACATAAGTAGATGCTGGCACATGGTACCAAAAGGCCAAGGGCCAAGCAGTTACTCAACAGAGGCCAGCAAGGACAGAAAAGAATATGCAAACCCATAAATGTTGATGATGCCTTATGATTTGTCAGTCTTCCTCAGGAACTTGAGGAAGAATGAAAGGGAAGAAGAGGCCAGCTACGGTGGCTCACGTTTGTAATCCCAGCCCTTTGGGAGGCTGAGGTGGGAGAACTGCTTGAGTCCAGGAGTTCGACACCAGCCTAGGTGACATGGCAAAACCCTACCTCTACCAAAAATACAAAAATTAGCCATGTGTAGTGGTGCACGCCTGTAGTCCCAGCTACAACGGAGGCTGACATGGGAGGATGATTTGAGTCCAGGAGATGGAGGTTGCAGGGAGCCAGGATTGAGCCTTTGTACTTCTGTCTGGGCAACAGAGCCAGACCCTGTCTCAAAAGAACAGAAAGAAAAGAAGAGTAGAAGTGATACAAATAGGAGAGAGGGGTAGAATCTTAGTTTAAAGCTGAAATCAATTTTAATTCAGAAATGACCAAGTAACTTCAAATTTATCTGTGGAAATGTTATTGGTGGGAGTACCAGGAAAAGACACTGAGATCAATCAATTTTTTAATATAGGCAAATAATGTTTTACAGATTTAAGATCAATAACTATGGCCAGGCACGGTGGCTCAAGCCTGTAATCCCAGCACTTTGGGAGGCCAAGGCAGGTGGATCACGAGGTCGGGAGATTGAGACCATCCTGGCTAAGACGGTGAAACCCCATCTCTACTAAAAAATACAAAAAATTAGCTGGGTGTGGTGGCAGGTGCCTGTAGTCCCAGCTACTCAGGAGGCTGAGGCAGGAGAATGGTGTGAACCCAGGAGGCGGAGCTTGCAGTGAGCCGAGATCACACCACTGCACTCCAGCCTGGGTGACGCAGTGAGACTCCATCTTAAAAAAAAAAAAAAAAAGATCAATAACTACAAAACTTAAACTTACACAGCCAGCTCTTAGGGGTGTTACAAGGATTCAATGACATGGGTGTGAGAAAATAGAATGGTGTGATTTTCTGATTACAATTTCTGATAGTAACTTTTCTTTGACTTTTCTCCAAGTTTTGGGACATTTATTGTAGTCCCATATGTAGAACCCATACCTTCCACCTTATCTTATACAGACTTACTTCCAAAGAGCATTAACTTTGAAATAAATGAATCTTGAATTTGAATTCGACTTTTGTCATGCACTAGCTGTATGAATTTGGGGAAACAACTTCTCTGAATCTTTGAGTCTTCATCCATAAAATATAGAAGTCAAAAATCATTTCATACATGTATTATGTAAGACAATAAAACATACAAAGCACATTGTCTGGTTCATGGTTGGTGGACCTATCTTCTTTCCCTAAAGTTTATTTATTTATTTAGTATTTTATTATTATTATTCTTTTTCAAGACAGGGTCTCACTGTGTCACCTAGGCTGGAGAGCAGTGGTGCGATCATGGCTCACTTCAACTTTGACCTCTGGGCTCAAGTGATCCTCCCACTTCAGGCTCCTAAGTAGCCATGACCACAGGTGAGAGTCACCACGCTCAGCTAATTTTGTTTATTTTTGGTAGAGAAGAGGGCTTGCCATGTTATCCTTGGTCTCAAATTCCTGGGTTCAAGCCATCCTCCTGCCTCTGCCTCCTAAAGTGCTAGGATTACAGGCATGCTCAGCCTTCCTTTAAAGTTTAAACTATGTTGCCTAGCTTTTAAAATTAATTAATTAATTTTTTGAGACAGGGTCTCACTCTGTCCCCTAGGCTGGAGTGTAGTACTGGGATCTCAGCTCACTGCAATCTCTGCCTCCCAGGCTCAAGCCACCTTCTCACCTAAGCCTCCTGAGTAGCTAGGTGGCATGTGCCACCACACCTGGATAATATTTGTAGAGATGGGGTCTCACTTTGTTGCCTAGGCTTGTCTTGAACTTCTGAGCTCAAGTGATCTGCCTGCCTTGGCCTATCAAGGTGCTAGGATTACAGGCATGAGCTACTGCACCTGGTCAGTTGCCTAGCTTTTGATTTGGAATATTTGATCATCTTATCATATGTCCTAACTAAAAGAGATTAAACTCTGTAATATATGACTCCTAGTTATCGCTCCTGGTTTACTGAGTAATAAACACCCTTACATGCAGTGAAGGAAGTATAATATAAGCATTTAAATATATAAACATTTAAATATAAAATATATGATACATAAACAGAAATCTCCTCAAGTCTTACCCCGAGACTGAGTACAAGGGTTGGATATATAATTTTCCACTTTCTCCAAATAGATATTGTCATTTTAAAAGGTATTTGCCTCAAATCCAACAAATTTTAAAAAGAAGAAACTTCACAACAGATAATAAAAATCAACAGTATCTATTATTCATTAAAGATGGTAGATTGAACATATGTACTTAAATCTATCCCTTTCCAAAACCAAACTAAAATACAATTTTATGTTAAATATTTTATTAAAAAGCAAAAACAAGACTGGGTACAATGGCTCATGTCTGTAATCCCAGTGCTTTGGAAAGTCAAGGTAAGGGGATCACTCGAGGCCAGGAGCTTGAGGCCAGCCTGGGCAACATAGCAAGACCTTGCCTCTATAAAACGTAAAAAAAAAGGAGTCAGGTTTAGTGGCACACACATGTTGTCTCAAATGCTTGTGGGGCTGAGGCAGGAGGATCACTTGAGCCCAAGGGTTCCAGGTTGTAATGAGCTATGTTAGCACCACTACACTTCAGCCTGGTGACAGAATGAGACCTTGTCTCTTAAAAAAAAACCAAAACAAATAAGAAAAAGGAGAATGAGAGATGAGTGACAGTAACCACAGTTTGGAAGCTAGAAAGCAGGACTACTGCAAACTGACTTAGCAGACCCAAGCAAGCTGGTTCCTAAACCAGCAGTTGGTAATGATAAGCTAGGGAGCAATTTTGTACTACAATTTCCAAAAGACTTAGGAATTGGTGACAGCCAGTGCTTATGAAAGTAAGATAAAGATAAGACTATAAAAAACTTGGTTAGAAATTTATTTAAGAATTAGATACTTTCTTTAGAGGAATAAAAGAATAGGTAGCAAAAACAAACAAACAAACAAACAAACAAACAAACAAAGAAGAAACTAAAAAGAATTAGATGCTTTCTAATTAACTGCCACCATTCACAACCAGCCAAGTACTTTTCCCTCTCTCATCCTAGCAGAAGACCAAAAGTTCACTCTTTGGCATGAGTAAAATAGTCTTGAACTGGGGAATTTTTTTATTTTTGAGATGGCATCTTGCTCTGTTGTCCAGGCTGGAGTGCAGTGGTGTGATCTCAGCTCACTGCAACCTCTGCCTCCTGGGCTCAAGTGATCCTCCCACCTCAGCCTCCCAAGTAGCTGGGATCAAAGGTATGCACCACCATATCTGGCCAATTTATATATATATTTTTTTCAGTAGAGATGGTGTTTCACCATGTTGGCTGGGCTGATCTTGAACTCTTGACCTCAAGTGATCCACCTGCCTCAGCCTCCCAAAGTGCTGGGATTACAGGTGTGAGCCACCGTGCCCAGCCTTGAACTGAGGAATTTTGTAGGGTACTCTGTTGAAAAGGGGAAAACTGAATGAAATTTTATTTGCTGAATATTGAGACTCTAAGTCCTCTTCTACTTGGTTCACACAATGCTAGCAGCCCATCTTATAGCCTCTAGGTAGGAAAGTGGAAGATACTTCTTTGGTGAATCTAACAGGCCCGAAAGAAAGAAGTTCAATAAAACATTAGGTTCCTGGATAAAACAGCAGTCAGATCTAGGAAATTCATAGTCATTAAGCCCCAATTATGTGTTATTGAGGTATCCACTTCCTTACTACCTTAACTATAAGGTGTCAGTCAAGGACCACTAGACTTCTGAGGAAAGCCCTTAACAGGAAAGATGGAGGGTAAAACAAACAGAAAATAAGACTCCTTAGGGACATAAAATTTCAAAGAAGTTTCTAACATGTAAGAGAAGAACTACATCCATGAAAGAAGAATAGATGGTCTAAACAAAAACAAAAGAACATTCAGGGAACAAGAAAGTACTGCTGAGAGACAAAATGATGATAAAATTGAAGAACTCAATAGAAAGGTCAGATCTCCCAGCAAGTAAAGACACTAAGAAAACGAACATAGGAGAGAAAGGGCATGAATATTAGAAAATTAGTCTGGGAGGTTCAACATCCAAATAATAGAAGGAGAGAACCAAGAAAATGAAAAGAAAAAAATTCAAAAAAATAATTTATAAAAATTTTCCTGCGCTAAAGAAGATGAATTTTCAGATTAATAGGGCTCACTAGTACCGGGCTGAATGAATGAAAATAGGTCTCCAAAAGGGCATATCCTAATAAAATTTCAAATCTCTGATAGAAATAGAAAATCTTAATAGCTTCTAGAAACAAAAAATAGGTAAAACAGAAATCAGAATATCTTTCAACTTTTCAACACTGGAAGCTAAATGACAATGGAGGGAAGCCATAAAAAGTCCAAAAGAAAATGAATTACAAACCAGAATCCCATACTCAGGCACAATATCAATCAAATGTCAGTAAACAGTAAAGACATATTCAGACAGGGAAGACCAACTCAACAAGGAAAAGACATGAAAACTGGGAGATCCAACTCAAAACAGGGACAAAAATAAGCCTCAAGTTGATAGTGAAAAGGGATCTGTACAATGTGGGACACAGTTTTCAACCAAATCAGAAATAAGTACATAGGGAACCAAGTAAATGACAAGACAATTATTAAGTTTAGGAAAAGCAGAGTTAGATACACGATACGGTTCAGCTACAAACTGAGTTTATATCATTATAATAACATGCACAATTGAATACTAAACTTACCAAAATCTTTATATAACTATATAGAAATGACGGTGTGCTTGTGGCAGTAGGGTAGGAGATCATAAAGAGATCTAAGTTTACAGCTTGCATAGTAAGGATTTAGTAGATTATCTGTGAAACTGAAAAAAAAATCAAGAAGTAGAAACATAATCATGTGATTTAGAGATATTCTGTTTTATAATTACCAAAAGACACAGTTAAAAAAGAATTTGCAAATTTCTTCTTTCTTATTTTGGTACTTGGAATATAGTGTGAGATTTTTTATTTCTAGATTTTGTTGTATCTTCTATTACATAAATGCATTGTTTGACAATTATAAAATGCAAGTATTTTTTGAGTGATTTTAAGAATTTGACTTAAAAATTGATTGCTACAATGTATTATTTGTACTAAGAAGTAACTTGACCCAAAACACCCTGTATGTTTGCTTAGGGTATTTTTTTTTTCAATGTCTAAAAGTAAAAGGCATTCCTGCCACAACTGTAAACAAACTTATCCTAAATGTGTTAAAACATATTCTTGGGCACTCTATTTGTATATCTTTCATGCCTTGAAAATCTGAGGGTTGATCCAAACTCACATGTCTTAGCATATTTAAGAAAAAAACTACTTTTAATATCAGCCTTTTAAATTTCATGAAGATTTTGGTGAGGAATAACAGTACATACTTTAAGCATTGACAAAACTTTGAACGTTTCCTTCTATAAAATGGGAAATACTCAATATCTAAATCCACATCAGGCATGAGCAATCAGTATTTAACATTGGCTGTTTTGTGTTTTGTATTTATAATGTTCAAAATGCAAGCATAACATTTAATCTTTGTCCACATGGTTTTACAAAAGCAAATCTTAAATTACCAAAAAAAAAAAAAAAAAAAAAAGAAAAAAGAAAATGATTGCATCTGGGGATTGGAAAATGATGGAAGGAAGTTTAGAGCAGGAGACTGCTAGGAGACTGCTCTTGTAAATCTTGTATGACTACTTAATTTTTAAAATAATGTGATGTGTAACATTGATAAATTAAAAAAGCATACAATTAATTTTAATAGTCTGTGGAAATTTAGTAGGCATTTATAAATTCTTAAGTGTGCTGCATATGAATTGCTGTGTCATACAACTTCAGAGGAGAAATTTCTAGAAAACAGGTATTGTACCAGACAAGTATCTGCCATGGAAGCCAGCATATGGCAGATATGTAAACATCACTACTTTACTTGGTAACCATGATAAAAACAGGCACTACTGTGGGCAGGAGCATAGGTTCTAGACTAGATTCAAATCCTGGCTCTATTTCTTTCTAGTTATATAATCCTTGATAAGATATTAAACCTCTTTTTGCTTAAGCTCCCTTATCTGTAAAATCTTCATTTCATAGGAATGTGGTGATTGTCAAATGATACATGAACAGTAATTAGCAAAATGCCTGAGACACAGTAAGTAGCTAATACTTGTTAGCTATTTTTATTTAGTATTCCAAAATTCCTAACTTGGGATCATAAGGATCATGTCCACTGCACCTCTTCCTACTCCTCCACACTCATCTTGGGACATTTTATTTCACACAATGTCTTGTTCAACCACCCCACATAGATCAAACTCACTTATCTCCCTAAAGACAATCATGCCTGATTAACTACAAAACATAGACTAGAAATAGATGTCATACCTGAAACCACGTCTCTTTTCTTTTCCATCCCTGTTTTCCTTTAAGGAATCTACAGCAGGATTTGTAATGAGAAGACCTAGGTTTGAGTAGGTCATTCAGCCTGAGCATCCATTTTCTCATCTGTAAAGTGGAGATGATTGCATCTGCTGGAGTGGATGTTTGTTGTTTGACTTCTCACCATTCTTTCCTGCTACTTCTGGTAGCCGTATATGGATTTTGCTTTGGAAATTTTATCCCAGCTCTAGAGATGTATCTAGCTGCCAAAGTCAATCAGCATATCCTTCTCTCTCTCTGTCTACAGTGATGGGTCCAGAGATTGGCATTTAGCCAAGTCACGGCCAGTGATACTCAAAACTGTCAGGGCTACCAAGACTGGAGTTAACAATGCCGCTAATCCAGAGAGAAACAGCTGGGAGTCTCATATCAGCCTATCTGAACATTCCATCCTATGACCCAACATACCCTTTTTTGGCCTAAGGTAGAGAGAGAGCGAGCGTGTGTGTGTGTGTGTGTGTGTATGTGTGCATGGCAGGAGGGCTTAAGGCAGTGTGTGTGTATGGTGGGGGGAATGTTCTTACTTACAACCAAAGGAGTCTTAACTCTTGCCTACCTTATAGGTATTATCTCCAACGTTTCTGGGATTAACTGACATGATAAATATAAAAATATTTGGTAAACTCAAAGCAGCATGCAAATGGTAACTGTTATTATTAACATAATTTTTTATAAAACAAGCCTAATGCCCACACAAAGCAAGGTATGCCTTGTAACAGTTCTAAATAATTTTTATAAAAACCAAAGTACCCTGTTAAAAGTCTGGACATGTTGGATATTATTTGTGAATATGTATTTTGTATAAAATATAACAATGTGCAATTGTTGCTCAAATCACTCCAGGTTATGCCTCTGACAGTAGCTCATTTGCCTTTCTGATACATCAAACATAAAAGGTTAACCTAGTACCCCTCAAACCTCTATTTTTACCCTGTGATATTTATGCTCCATAAACCTATTTGAACCCTTATGAAAATATGTATTTTGTACTAATTACTTACAAGTGAATTTTGCCAGGCTTAATTAGTACAGTCTGGAGAAGTACAATTGCTTTATTACTTATAAATAAAACATTAATTAAGGGGAAATTGAAAAAAGGTACCTAGTCCATATTTTTAAAAAGATGATTTCATAAACTTATAAAATAAAATATTTTGAAGTCAGAATAAAAATTGGAAGTAAATGGATATTCCAAATGAGCTCATAGGCTTTAAAAAAGCATTTGTTTTCTTAAATGTATCTATCTATTTATGTCTATAGGATTGATTTGACTGGCACTTCTTTTCTTTCTGGCTAAAGGAGAGGTAAACTTCAGCTCAACTACTGTTTGATTTCTCAGAAACTGAGTAAGTGCAGTTGAAATAATTGTTGTTTTACAGTATTTGCTCCATCTGATATATCCTTGGTTTTATCTCCAGGTTAGGCTCCTTTAGGTAAAGGTTCAGATAATCAGCTAATGAGGCCGATTTTTGTCGCACATCCATTATCATTACCTAATGACAGTGAATGTAATAATGCAAAAATCATCATCATGAGCATGTAAGTATACATTTTCTCAATTAAAAATATTCAATTAAGAATTTAAAAATTGAGCTACAATGACTTTTTTAAAAGAAAATAATGAAACAAGAATGATGTTTTTGAATTAAAGATAACTTTAATTAAAGATGCCCCTGTTGTTTCTGATCTAAAAAGGTATATATAACTTTTGCATCTATCTTCATCACGTTTTTATATATAAAAGTTATATACATATATACATAACTTTTGACCCACTAAACTTAGTTTTAGATGACATTGAGTTGGACTAAGAATTCTGATTTAACTAACATGTGTGTTCAAAATAGTGTGGAAAAAAAAGCAATTCCATAAATATTTTGTGCAAATGCAATGCCCATGGAGTAAGTCTACAGTTTCCAAACTGCTACTGAGAAAGTCAAATAATAATCCAAGTATGTAAGTTTTGTGTGTTGTCTCCTTCCCTACAATTACATTTTAAAGTAGGAAAAAATAGGAGTCTGAATATGAAGATAAATTAAACTGCAGATTAAGATCAAATTTCATAAAAAAGAGCAACTCCTAGAAACTAATGAAACTTAACAAACATTTATTGAGTGTATTCTAGGTGACTGAAGTAGTACTAGGTACAATAGGAAATAGAAAAATGAATAATACACAGGTCAGGTCCTCAAGGCACTTACAAGCTGTTGAATAGTAAGTTACATACAATAAGAATGACAACATTCTACTTTAGACTTGAACGTTATAAATGAAGCTAAAAGCTCCGTTGTATAAGCCAATTTACATTCAAATACTTTAGTCCATATTTTCCCAGGTCAATCTGATTACCATCAGTGTTGTATACCTTTATGAATACATATCACTTTACACTGTAGAAATTTGGTTATGTATCTGCCTTCTCGGCTAGCCTATGAGCTTCTCTAGAGTGAGGAAGAATTAGAGGTCATATTACGGAGTCTAGCGTAGCATACATGCACAATAATTGTATCGATCAATAAAGCAGATTGTTAGATGTGCTATCAGTGAAATAAATGCAAAGTGAGAATGAGTAAACCAAACAAGGAATAGTTTAATTCCCATTGGAGAGCTTGAAGAAAGGTTCAAAGACAGTATAGCATTTTTAAAAAATTGAGGCTGGGGGTGGCAGCTCATACCTGTAATCCCAGCACTCTGGGAGTCCAAGGTAGGAGGGTTGCTTTAGGTCAAGAGTTCAAGACCAGCCTGGGTAACACAGTGAGACTTCATCTCTTAAAAAAAGAGTTGGGATTTTAATATATAGAAATAGAGGAAACAGAGAATAGGTAAATGGAATGGGAAAGGTTTGCAAAAGCACAAAGGTAAAAAAGTACTGGGGATGCTTTAAAAATATTTATAATCTAGTATTTTCAGAATTCCAGGCTTTTGTGATTGATTGATAGATGTATTAGTAGTATCTTGAGGGTTAGTCTACATGTTTCTCCTAGGCAAGTTAGTAGGGATCTGAGTGGGTCTGCTTTCCCAGATCTGCATACTTAGGGGACAAAAACAGGTACCACAAAAATGGCCCTTGGGAACCTATCTGCATGACAGGACATAATTCAAATGTCTATAACAAGCCTGTTCAACATGCAGTCTGCATGAGACCCAGGATGGCTTTGAATGCAGCCCAACACAAATTCATAAACTTTCTTAAAACTTTATATGATTTTTGGCCAATTTTTTTAGTTCATCATCTATCATTAGTATTAGTGTATTTTATGTGTGGCCCATGACAATTCTTCTTCCAGTGTGATCCAGGGATGCCAAAGAGATTGGACACCCTTGGTCTATAATAATTTGGAATAATGTAACTGTTTACTAAGTTATATTTCATTGAACAATATACATCTACAGAAATGCAATACATGCTTGCAGAATGCAGTTCAATCCAGTATATTTTACCAAATTAATTTGACCACAGAACTCTTTGGTTATAAAATTCTTATTGGCATTTTGATTTGAAACTTTTTTTTAGTTTCCCTTTATTTAAAATGTAAGGTATCAAATAGAGAAAAAAAATACAAAGGAACAATGAAATGAAAAGTTGTTTCTCTGAAAGGCAAACAAAATTGATAAACCATTAGATAGACTAGGAAAAGAGGAGAGAAGATCCAAATAAACACAATAAGAAATGAAAAGGGAGACATTACAACTGATATCACAGAAATACAAAAGATTATCAACTATTATGAACAACTATATGCTCAAAAACTAGAAAACTTAGAGGGATGGATACATTCCTAGAAACACACAACCCCCTGAGGTTGAACCAGGAAGAAATAGAGCCCTTGAACAGATTAACAATGAACAGCAAGATTAAGTCAGTAATTAAAAAAAGTCCCAACAGGGCTGGGTGTGGTGGCTCATGCCTATAGTCCCAGCACTTTGGGAGGCCAAGGCAGATGGAATGCTTAAGCCCAGGAGTTTGAGACCAGCCTGGGCAATATAGTGAATATAGTGAAACCCTGTCTCTACAAAAAATACAAAAATTAGCTGGGTGTGGTGACATATGCACCTATAGTCCCAGCTACTTGAGAGGGGTGAAATGGGAGGATCACCTGAGCCTGAGAGGTCAAGGCTGCAGTGAACCATAACTCAGGCTGTCACTCTAGCCTGAGTGACAGAGTGAGATTCTGTCAAAAAAAAAAAATAGAAAAACAAAACAAAACAAAAACCCAAAGCAAGCAAACAAACAAACAAAAAACAACCCCAAACTCCCAATAAAACAAAAGTGCAGGAGCAGATGAAAATCAAGGAGGAGGTAATTTTATCTAACTCATTCTATGAGGTCCGTATGGCACCAAAACCAGACAAGGACACAACAACAACAAAATTAAGACTAATATTCCTGATGAAGATAGATGCAAACATCTTCCACAAAATACTAGCAAATGGAATTCCAACAGCACATCAAAAACATAACACATGATGAGATAGGATTTATGCAAAGATGATTCAACATACACAAATCAATAAATGTAATACATCACAAAACAGAACTAAGGACAAAAATCATATGATCATCTTAATAGATGCAGAAAAAGCATTCAATAAAATTCAGCATTCCTTCATGATAAAAATCCTCAACAAACTAGGCATAGAAGAAACATGCTTCCAAATAATAAAGGCCATATATGACAATCCTACAGCCAACATCAGACTTGGTGGGGAAAAGCTGAAAGAATTGCCTCTAAGAACTGAAACAAGATAAGGATGCCCACATTCACCATTCTTATTCCACACAGTAATGGAAGTCCTTGCCACAACAATCAGGCAAGATAAAAAAATAAAAGGTATCTGAATTGGAAAAGAGAAAGTCAAATTATCCCTGTTCACTGATGATATGATCTTATATCCAGAAAATTCTAAAGACTCCACCAAAAACCTCTTAGATTTGATCAATGAATCCAGTAAAGTTTCAGGATACAAAATTACCACACAGATATCAGTAGCATTTCTATATGCCAATAACGATATAGTAAAGGACCAAATGAAGAAGGCAATCTCATTGACAATAGCTACAGAAAACCACCCAAAACCCTAGAAATATATTTAACCAAGGTGAGATATCTCTATAAACAGAACTACAAAACACTGATGAAAAAATCGTTGATGACACAAACAAATGGAAAAACATCCTATGCTCATGGATTGGAAGAATCAGTATTGTTAAAACGACCATATTGCCCAAAGCAATCTACAGATTCAACACAATCCCTATCAAATTAGCAGCACCATTTTTCACAGAATTAGAAAAAACAATCCTAAAATTAATATGGATCTAAAAAATAAGACCCCAAATAGCCAAATTAATTGTAAGCAAAAAAAAAGAAGCTGGAGACATCACATAACCTGACTCCAGTTTACACTACAAGGCTATAGTAACCAAAATAGCATGGTACTGGTATGAAAACAGACACAACGATCAATGGATCCGAATAGAGAACCCAGAAATAAAGCCATATACATATAACCAACTGATGTCCAACAAAGTCAACAAAAATATACACTGAGAGGCTGGGTGCAGTGGCTCACACCTGTAATCCCAGCACTTTGGGAGGCCGAGACTAGCAGATCACTTGAGGCCAGGAGTTCCAGACCACCCTGGCCAACACAGTGAAACCCTATCTCTACTACAAATAAATGAATTAGCCGGGCATGGTGGTGCATGTCTGTAATCCCAGCTACTAGGGTGGTTGAGGCACGAGAATGCTTGAACGCAAGAGGCAGAGGTTGCAGTGATCCGAAATTTCACCACTGCACTTCAGCCTGGGAAAGAGTGAGATTCTGTCTCAAGGAAAAAACCAAAATACACTGGAGAAAGTACATCCTATTCAATAGGGGTACTGGGAAAATTGGATAGCCATATGCATAAGAATTTTTGTATATCACCATATACAAAAATTAACTCAAGATGGATTACATACCTAAATGTAAGATTGGGAACTACAAAATCCTAGAAGAAAACCTAGGAAATCTCTTTTGAACACTGATCTAGACAAAGAATTTATGAGTAAGTTCTCAAAGACAAATGCCAGAAAAACAAAAATAGACAAATATGACTAAATTAAACTAAAAAGATTCTGCACAGCAAAAGAAACAATTAACAGAAAAAACAGACAATCTATAGAATGGGAAAAAATTTTGTAAACTCTGCATCCAAATAAAGGGCTAATATCCAGAATCTACAAGGAACTCCAACAACTCAACAACAACAACAACAAAAACATTAAAAAGTAAGCAAAGTAAATGAGCAGACATTATTCAAAAGCAGACACACAAGTGGCTAACAAACACATGAAAAAATGCACAACATCACTAATCATCAGAGAAATAAAAATTAAAACCACAATGAGATGCCATCTGACACCAGTCAGAAGCACTATTATTAAAAAGTGAAAAAACAACAGATGTTGCAGAGGATGGGGATAATAAAAATATGTATACACCATTGGTAGGAATGTAAATTAGTACAACCTTTATGGAAAACAGTAGGGAAATTTCTTCAAGAACTAAAAATAGAACAAAATTCGATCCAGCAATCCCACCACTTGAGTATGTACCCAATGGGAAAGAAATCCTTATACCAAAAAGATACTTGCATTCACGTTCACTGCAGCACTATTCACAAAAGCAAAGATGTGGAATCAACTTAAGTGTCCATCAACAGAGGACTGGATAAAGAAAATGTGGTATATATATGCCATGGAATACTACTCAGCCATAAAAAAAGAATGAAATTGTGTCTTTTGCAGCAACGTGGGTGGAACTGGGGGTCATTATAGCTAAGTGAAATAACTTGGAAAGAGAAAGTAAAATACTGCATGTTTTCACACAAGCGAGGAGTAAATGATGGAAACACCTGGACATACAGAGTGGAATAATAGACCCTGGAGACAACAAAAGGTGGGAGGATGGGAAGGGGTGAGGGTTGAAACATTACCTATTGGGTACATTGTTCATTATTCAGGTGACAAGTACAATAAAAGCCCAGACTTTACCACTACACAATACATGTATGTAAAAGTCTGTACTTGTATCCACTAAATATACAAAAATTAAAAGAATTTTTTTGAAGAATTACTTTGGCCTCATCTATTACTTCAAAGGATTTAAACATGGTTCTTTACATGTGGCTAACTTGAATAATTTGTTTTTTGAGGCGGAGTTTCGCTCTTGTTGCACAGGCTGGAGTCCAATGGCATGATCTTGGCTCACTGCAACCTCTGCCTCTCAGTTTCAAGCGATTCTCCTGCCTCAGCCTCCCGAGTAACTGGGATTACAGGCATGAACCATGCCTGGCTAATTTTTTTTTTTTTTTTTTTTTTTTTTTTTTTTTTTTTTAAGTAGAGACGGGGTTTCTCAGTGTTGGTCAGGCTGGTCTTGAACTCTCGACTTCAGGTGATCTGCCCACCTTGGCCTCCAAAAGTGCTGGGATTACAGGTGTGAGCCACTGTATGCTCAAGTTTTGGGGTATTATTTAGTCCCTTTTTAAGCATGGTTTAAGTTGTGAAGAAAATTGTCTAAGTTTTCAAGTACCCTGATGCTTTTCCCATTAACTGAAGATGTGTAACTGTAGTTCCATCTAAATGCTTTTAAAACCTCAAAACAAAAAATAACAAAGCACAAGCTCAACACAAAAACTGACCTGGTCTGAAAGACTAATCAACTTAATCTTCTGCATATTCTTCACTTTTCTTACTACCAAACACTCTGATGTAAAATAAGCTTCTATCTTTTATGTACAATTTTCCTCCTTTTTCCTTTTAAAAATATTTTTATTATTAACCATCAACTTCATGTTTTTCAATTTGTTCATCCATTCATTTATTATTGTAAGAAGTATTTATTTAATATCAACTATGAACCAAGTACTATGCTAGATTCTGGGTTGAATTTTTTTAAGAAATACGATGATTTTATTTAAGAAATGTAAGGTATCACTACACTGTAACTTAAATCTTGAGTCACTGAATGGGTCTATTTCAAGTGTTACAATGTTATATTACTGGTGGGAACAACAACTCCTAAGTGCCCACTAATTTGGTAGCAAGCTGAGGATATGAGATTGCAAATAATAAATAAGAAACTATAAATACATGTTTACTTTCATCTTATATACCCAAATGTAATCTACATGCTTCTCTGCATGATGAACTCTTCCTTAAAAAATTTATAAGACCTACTCATACAAATATCAAAAATATAGGCTATTATATAATAAGTATCAAGTAAGTTTTATAGGAATTCAGAGTCCTGATTGGGGTAGTCAGGAAAAGCAGGTGTTGTGATTTGGATTTGTGTCCCTGGCCAAATCTCATGTCAAATTGTAATCCTCAGTATTGGAGGAGTGCCCTGGTGGGAGGTGATTGGATCATGGGGGTAGATTTTCCTCTGGCTGTTCTCATGATAAAGAGTGAGTTCTCATGAGATCTCATTGTTGAAAAGTATGCAGCACTAGCCT